CCTTATGGCTTTTACTCACGTCTGTAAAACCTAAAAACTTCTCATAGATATTACCACGTAACGCGTATCGAACAACATTGATAATTGTGAATGACATGATATGTCGGTAGTTTCATCTACTTCTAGTGAAAAGCAAATGATTTCCTGAATCTCAGATTCAATAACGTTACTCAAAATGTAACTAATTGATTCTTTTAATTCATTCTGGATTGTTTTAGATACACCGCTAAATGTCTTCGAATCAGAAAGTAAATTAGAAAATTCCAAATCATATTTCTTAAACATTTTTATTAGTTCTCTATAATTACCTTGATTTAACGAATGCTCCGATTCATCGTGTCCCGTAAAAGATAATTCCTGACAACTTAAAAAAATTACAATATCAATTAAACGACGTAAAACTGCTTGATTATTTTTTACAATTTCGTTATGTTTAATAGCATTTTCACGTTGGGCATTATCTAATGAAACATGGATATTTTGTTTTCCAAATAAATCTAATTTAATCTGGCTGTAAGTATAATGTTTCGAAATACTTATCATGTTTATGTAAAGCCCTAAATAATTCCTTTAAATTATCGTAACCAGATTCACACCACAGATTTTGATGTTTGCCCCTATTTGTCGAAACTAAAATGCAAGGCCAACAAAAAAGTTTGTTTTTTATTTCACTATCGGTAAGCCATGAGTACTTGCTGTACCAATGATCTGAAAATGATCTATTACTTGCCTTACCCGTACTAATATTTATAAGCCGGGATATTTTAGGCAAAGGACGCCCCTTATTTTTAATAACAATTTATTCTTAGTATGGAATTGATGAAAACCCATTATGAAAAATATAATTTACAATATCAGACTTATCAACACTTACAGTTTCTCCCATGGCTTGCATTTTTTAGGTGTTTACTGAATTTGTTTACACTTTAATTAAAAAAAAACTTCTAATATGTCAAAAAACCCTTTAACCGTTAATTATTACTACCATAACCACTTTAACCACAGTATTACTTTAGAAAATAAAAATAAATCACAAAAAGATAGGCTAGTTTGTGCACTGAATATCACTTCAGTTTACTACATATATGAAATGATATTTCGTCCCACGCTCGCAACGTACAGTTCGCGACCAATCACCAATCCAAATGAAACATCGGCAAATTTAAATTTACCGGACTTGGTAATTAAGTTAGTATGGAAAGAAATGTATATTTGGTTGATAACCAACCAATATTCCGTTGATTTTTACAAGTAAAGTCAAGGTTGGGATCGGCTAGCCGAAAAAACAAAACGTGCCTTTTTAAGAATTCACAGGCGGATGGATGTCTCCGATATCGGAACATTTATTTGGAAAGTGTCTACGCAAGGATCACTTAACGCTCAGATTGGACGAATTCTTTTAAAAACCATGAATAAAATTTAGTCTGGTGGAATTCTTTTAAAAACCATGAATAAAATTTAGTCTTTATTATCTCACAGATATTTTTTTAGTTCACAAAAACAAATGACATCAACTGATTACCTGCCACAATTATTTATTAAAATACTGATTAAATTAAATATTAAAATAATCTATAATGTCTATAAAGATGTGGGTCGGCACTGCCGACCCTGACCGGCCGCCACTGATGTGAACCAATCTCCTGTAGAAAGGGTGATGCATTACAACTACCTCGGCACCATAATAAATGAAGAATGGACCAACAAACAGGAGATTAGAACACGCATCGCAAAAGCTAAATCCTCCTTCAATCGGATGAGGGCCTTCTTCAAGAGTCACCACCTCTTTCTTGATACAAAAGTAAGAATGCTGCGATGCTACGTCTTCTCTGTCCTTTTATATGGTGTTGAGTCGTGGACCTGGAGCGAAGATATGAGCAAAAAAACTGGAAGCATTTGAGATGTGGCTATATCGGAGAATACTTAAGATCCCGTGGACTGACCGAGTCACAAATAAGGAGGTCCTTAGAAGAATGAATAAGAACCGAGAGGTACTGACCACCATTAAATCTCGAAAGTTACAATTCTTCGGACATATTATGCGAAATGAATCCATATATGCTCTCCTTCAAGCCATCCTGCAAGGAAAAATATTTGGAAAACGAGGTCCAGGAAGAAGAAGAACACCTTGGTTAAAAAACCTCAGAATCTTGCTCAATACAACATCTGTGCAGCTTTTCCGTGCTGCTGCAGATAAGATAAAGATTGCCATGATGATCGCCAACATTCGTAACGGATAGGCACATCAAGAAGAAGAAGAACTGACTATAAGATCTTTTTCTCAAACATTCATGAACCATGTGCTCACACCAGCAACCTTTTCATTATTTGAACAACTGGAGAAAATCGTACGGCAAATAGTTCGTAACACGATGCCAAAGAAATGCTAGCCCAGGTGTTAGAATGGTGGCAACGGTTACATTCTCCGTAAATTGCAAAAAAATAATACAACAGTCGGAAAACTAGAACAGATCAAACACTGAGCTAGAAAAGTTCATTAAAATGCTGATGCTCTGTCAAGACGGTCATGCAGTGCAAATTGTATTCACTGTCGTAAATTAGAAAAATAAATAAATCCGCGAGACGAACCACCGTCATTAATAATGCAATCGCAGTCTCAACAGCTACAAGAGGCCCAAGCAGATGATTCATGTATAAAAAGAGTATTGAATTGGATGCGTCGAGGTGAGAGATCTTCTTGGCAAGACATCAATTAGTGCATGACGTCTAGAAGTCAAGTCCTACTGAAGCCAATGGAATTGCCTGGTACTAAAAGACTAGGTTTTGGTCACAGGTCAACACTTTGGTATTACGAAGACTCTGCAAAAGGTGCGAGAATGATTCTATTGGGTGAACTGTAAAGGTGATGATGTAAGAAGATGGTGCCGAAAATCTGAACTGTGTGCAACTAGTAATAGTCCAGTTGGTAAAAAGAGGGCATCTATGATACAGTACAATGTTGGTAGTCCTATGGAAAGAGTAGCAATCGACATTGCAGGTCCATTTCCGGAAACAGATGACGGAAATAAATATATCCTGGTAACCATGGATTATTTTACGAAATGGACTGAGGCATAGGCGATACCAAATTAAGAAGCTGCTGCAGAGGTACTTTTTAAAGAATTCTTAAGCCGTGTTGGTGTTCTCTTAAAGATCCACTCCGACCAACGGAGAAACTTCGCCCCAAAACCCTATTCCAAAATGTTTGTCAATTGATTGGTGTCAATAAGACCAAAAGGACATCCCTGTATCCTTAATAATGAGGAATAGTCGAAAAGATGAATCAAACGATGGGTAAACACCTGTCTAAAGTTGTACTTATACGAACATCAAAGAGATTGTGACTAGCATATTCATTTATTCCTAACGGCTATCGCTCGGCTGTGAATGAAACTACGGGCAAGACTCCAACCTGCCTGATGTTGGGTCGTGAAGTTCGTTTGCCCTGTGACCTAGAGTTTGGCTACAGAACTTGAAATTAAAATAAAATAAATGACGTAATATATCTACTGAAATAAGAAATCGCCAAAAGGTAAATCAAAAGTTCACATAAATCGTTTGGCACCTTGTGCTGGCTCAAATGAAACAAAATAAGCACAAATCCTTCAATATGGGATCAAAAATGATCGGCGACCAATATTTAAGGAATTTGTTTCAAATTACGCAGAAAGAAAAAGTGCTAGATTCAGAGAGTGTCAGAACTTCCACAGAAGTTCAACAGGATCTTTTTAGTGTTCCGGAAAACGTCTCTCTAGCCCTATGTGTCGCTCAAGACCTCGAGATGACTACAGGAATCTCGTCCGTATTAAATATGAACTTCGGTCGCTTGGACGAGTTGAAAAATCAGCAGCCTAAAATTGGAAGAGTACTACAATTAGAAGATGATTCTCGATCTTTGCTGCATATGGTGACCAGGAAGTCTTATACAGACAAGGCAAGCTACGAGGAAATATGACGTGATCTAACTAAATTAAAGAAAATTGTCTGCAATTATGACATCAAACATTTGGCTATACCAAAGATAGACCATGCACGAGAAAATATTTTTGGAAGATTGTGAGAAGCATGCTTGAAGTGATCTTCCGAGAAACCGGTATACGAATTACTGTGCTCTGCCTTAACCCGAAGGGGTTGTACCATTTAAAATGAGTAGACTGAGAAATTAAATTTGCATGGATTCCAAGTCGCACATGGATTATGGGGAATAATAGAGCCCTTACTAAACTTGGAAGAAACTAACCTCTTACTAAATACCCAAAAGCTTCCTTTCAAAACCAAAATATAAAGAAAACTTATGGATTAATTGGAAAAATCGGTTCCAACAAATAAGGCAGGTAAAAGAAATTACATATTGTACACATGTTACGGTTCCATATAAAAAAGCCTGGTTTACCAGGTTTCCCATTCTCGGGAAGGGGTATAATTTCACAAATGTGTGGTATGAGGAGTAGACACTGCAGTATTCCAGTTCATTTATTTACATTGAAAGTGATCAATACAAATCAGTGTTCATCTGGCAGTTTAGGCACCTTACAGCATATTTTATTGATTATTGGAATGTATTAGATAAAAAAAAGGATTCCCAGTTGCTTAGAAGTGAATTAATAGATTATCCAATATTTACTGCTGTCCTGTTCAAAAATTTAAACTCAACGATATTATTCACAGTGTAATTTTTTATAGTCAACAAGGACACATGTGTAATTTGTTACTCTACTATAAGATTTTATCTGCTTGCTTGGTTTGCATGTGCTTAGTGCGGTAGTACTGAACTGTAATTATAGAACTTATGTGAAAGAACTTTTAAACAATTATTTTTAATTTTTTTCCTTTAACTATTGTTGCAGGTTCCGAATCTATGAGCTTTTAAATCCAGGATGTACCTTAGGTACGGCTATTGAACATTCAGTATAAATACACAGAATCCGTTGGATAACCCTAGTAGCCAAGACCAAACCAATGAATACAATAAGAAGAAGAAAATAAGTTTGGTTAGGCTGTCGGTAGTGTCGGTGGCTGTTAGTAAACTCAAAGTCAATAAATTTCTACTTGTTCTTGGTGTTCAAATAGTATTTTCCAGATTAATAATAATTAATTAATTAGTTAAATATGGTTTTTCACAATAAGTGTTGTATCCTACAATGTACCAATTCTTCAAAAATTAGGCATTCCTTTCCAAATCCTGATAAAGACATTATACGATTTAGGAAGTGGCTTAGTGTTATTAACAATCCTGATTTAGATATAATGAATTCCACTACAGTTTTTAAAACAAAACGAATATGCCACAGGCACTTTGAAGACAAGTTTGTTTCTTCATGGAGTCATAGATTGTATCCAAATGCAATTCCTAGCTTACATTTGCATGGTGAGTTCAACAAGTATTTGTTATTAGAGAATAAATAACATTCTAATTGATTTTAGATGATTCCTCTTCTAATGTACACCCCAGAAGTATTTCAAGGTTGTATGTGGAAGCAAATGTAACAGAAAGTAAGTAACCCTCATATATCTAATTATTAAAAACTATTTTACTTGCAGTGGAACATGGTATAAATTATTATATTAACTTTTTGTTTTAGTTGAAACTCCTTCAACAAGTAGAGATGCACAATCGTCACACATGTTTCAATCATATGAGATATATAATTGTAGTAAGTATTGTGAAGATAACTATTAAGCATTTTCTAATTGGTTATTTACTATTTTATGAAATTGTTTAGTTGCAGAGCACAATTATGCAAAGTTACCAGATGAAGAGATTACAAACTGATAAGAGTAAGGACTTAAAAGGTAATTGTAGTTAAAGTTTATATTTTGTATTGGCATCAATAGATTTGTAAACTTTGTCTAATATGATTAATTATAAAATTAACAGTTTGCTTAACCTTCAAGTAGTGGTACTAGAGTTTTTTTTATAAATTTAGTTGCTTCATTTTTCATAGACCAGCTGGTTCTAAAAACTAGAAACAGGAGTTTGTTTGTGTTCATAATCTCCCATTGCTAAAATGTAACAAAGATATATGAAGTATTGAAATGTTCTAGTACTCTCAATAAATTGTTTAATACTGACATCAAAAAACAGTGTATTCAGTCTCTGACTGACACAGTAATATATGAAGGTTAATATAATGAATAGATTTTGCCCTGCGAACAATAATATTTATATATTTATAAAATTTTATGTCTTAAAAAGTTTAGAATGTGGCAAGGATGCATTTACAATAATTGGCAATAGCACTTATAATTATTAACAGTGCTAGTGTGACATGGCATCACTGCTGTACTACAGAAAAAACGACAATTCTGAGAAAGAACTTCTACTTTTAAACAAGCTTTTGGAAAAACCATAATTGGTAGCAATTATGTATTAAGTTAGTAAGTTAGGGTTAGGGTATTCATTTTAAAATAAAATAAATGCAAGTGCATTTGAATATTATTAATAATTTTATAGTCCATTATATCAAGTAACCATAAGTTTGATCTTTCAACTGAGATCTGGTCAGCTCAATGCAGAATTCAAGAATAGTTTTGCAAATACACATGGTTTTGTGATTTTAACCAAGATGTAGTAATGAGTCATTGGAGGAGAAGTAAATGTGAGTTTTTTTCCGTTTTACATTTCCTGGTTATTTTAATATATTTTTGATTTGCACAAGTATACTATGGTTAAATATTTCAAATTCTTTATTTTATTTCTGACAAACATAGTTTGTATAGAATTAGTCATAAATATGAATTATTTATAAATTTAATTCATGTAACTATTTGATTTCTTGATTATTTTATTAATTATGTGAAGTTTTTTAGTTAATGCTAGATTATAACAAAGATTGCAGGTAAAATTAACCTACAATCTGTTCTAGAGTTTGTCTATTGTATTTTTCATTGCAGGTAAATACAGTTTGAAGTGTATAATTGCTCAACTTTAAATATTTAATTGTGGCAAAAGTATATAGAAAGTGCTGGTGAAGTTAATTACAAATAGTGACGGGAATTTTGGGTCATCTTTAAGATTCGGGTCACCGGTTCCCGTTCACTTAAGAGAACCGGATCACTTTGTCGGGTCATGGGTCAGTACATATTATATGCAAACCAAATCTATAATTTTAGCGGTAGGTGGTGGGTGGATAATCTAGTGTAGGAGCATTATGTTATTATGTAGTTGTTATTCAATCTTACAAGTAAATGTTATGGCAACCAAAAGTTTACTTTGATATATTAAATTTTACCTAATTAAATCTAAAATTCAAATTTATTTTTTTTAAGCTAATTATATATCAACTAAACGTTTCTTTAAGCATGCTAATTCAAGCATACCTGTCAAGGTCTCTTTAATGAAGCATACCTATCTAAGGTATCTTTAATGTACAAAGTAAAGTATAAAAGATCTTGTAGGTCTTGTACTAAATTATTATTATGCAACCAATAATATGCCACGCCATAAAATATTTCAGGGAATACCATAAATATTGCTATAAATAAATACCATTGTGACCAAAAATATAAGAAATGCAAAAAAATATAATAACCAAAATAATTATGTGGAAAGCCAACAAATATATACATATTTTTTGCCGATAATTCATATTATATCTAAGTATAGTTTTTAATGTACACCTTGTACTTCTAATGTACACCATGTACATTTTACACCTTATAATTATCAGTAAAATAAATAATATTTTGCTCTGCCAATATCCTCGTCCTGACAACCGAACATAGGTGCACCCGGGGGGGAGGGTGGGGGTTAAACCACCCCAGGACCCTATTCCAACAGTGTTATTCACAAATTTTAAGGGCTTAAAATGGTGGAGGTAGCACAGACAAAAATTTCGGTGCCCGACCAACCCGCCCCCCCCCAGAGCAAAATTCTAGGTGCGCTACTGAACCGACAATCAGTTCACGATTCTCATTCCTTTCAAAGGAGCAAGACCACAAAATATCTGAAAAGATTCGGTTCTGTTTATAAGAACTTGGGATTCAATGTTTAGCTGACTCCTCGCTTTCGCTTAGAACTACATCATTATGTGTCGTATGTGTTTGTCACTGACCCGTGATCCGTTAGATTTAATTCGGGTCAGTCGGATCTATCTAAAGATTCAGCTCATTGAATCGGGTCAGTTCTGATTTGCACATCAGTAATTACAAATGAAGGAAAGTTTTGTATTTGGCAGTGTTGCCATGTTGTTTTAATAAATACGAAAAGAGCATGCGATATAATTTTAATTAATTTTATGCAATATTTTAAATTGAAATTTTTTTACCAAACACACAAATTCACACAATTTAAATGTAGTGACAATGTGAACTGAACAAGTTCCAGTAACTAACTAATACATTAACAACACAGTATTCAGGTACCATTTCATCCCAAAATTATAAGAAAATAGTCATAAAATTGAAATCTGCAGAACATCTATTCCAATCTGGCAACTATAGTTTATTTTTATGAACGAGAGAGTAATTAGCATAATTTTAACTGGTATCTCCGACCACTCCATGGGCGTGCTCAAGATTAATTGAAAAATTACTTTGAATAATTGTAAAAAATAAATGAATTATTTCAGTGTTATGAAGTGTTATGTGTATGTAAACAAAAGTGACCTCTTTTATCACACACTATATTAGAACTGACTGGCCTACATTAAAAAGGGTTTTAAAAAATTCACATTTTTTTTAATTTTTAAAAATTACAAAAGAGAAAAAGAGTTTTTAAAACCGTCTAAGGTATGTTAAATAGATGAATAAAAATATTAATATAAAACTTACAGCTACTTGTTACAAATCCAAATCAGATTCAGAAGATGAACTTTCAGAACCAAGATTTATAATAACTGGCTCGATCATTTTATCAGTAATATTGTCCAGCTTCCACATTTTTTCCTCTTCTTTAATAGTGTGATTTACTGCCTTTTCCCAGTTTTCAGGTTTTACATTATTTACGGCCTCCAAAAACAACTGTTTAACATCATGAATTTTAAAAGTGGTATTTTTTCTTGAAACTTCACTCTTTATCTGTGCCCATACCAGTTCAATCGGGTTTAATTCACAATGATATGGTGGGGATCTAAGTACTGTCATTCCACGATTTTTGGCAATTTCATCAATTTCGTATTTTTTAAATTTTTCTTTATGAAGGGCACACAACGAATAAAGTTCCTTTCTTATAGATCCGGGATGGTACGTAATATTTTTTGAACTCAGCCAATTCTGCAAGTCTTTTTTTAACCACTTGGTTGTGGGCAGTCCTTCTATAAGTCTGGAGTGATAACTTGCATTATCCATTACTATTACACAGTTCTTAGGAAGAAGATCTATCATTTGTTCGAACCATTCTTGAAAGACATCAGCGTTCATGTCTTCATGGTAGTCACCGGTACGAGTTGATTCAAAAGTTAATAAACCACCTTCAACAAAACCGTCTGAACTGCCAATGTGTACTATTATCAGCCTGCGTCCCTTTCCTGATGGTGGGTTTAAACCAGTAGATAAGTTATTTACAAAAGCGTGCCTTTGACTTGTAACAGTTTCATCCTGCCAAAATTTATTTGGTGTATGACCCTCGTTGATCCATGTTTCATCAAGATAAAATATTTTTCTTTTTTGGTTTCTCATTTCCTTTATGGTTCTTAGAAAATGTCTTCTCCATATGACAATATCGCTTCTTTCTAATAAAATAGACTTTCTGGGATTCTTTTTCCAGCGGAAGCCTATTTCTTTTAAAAGTTTCCATAACGTACTTCGACTCATTTCTGGGTAATCCTTATCATCTCGAACTGAGACAAGAACTTTATCCAATGTTGGAAATTCTTGTCTAAAGAAGAATTCATGCACTTTCCGTCGAAGTCCTTCTTTAAAATGATATTCTATTTGAAATTTTGGTTTCCCTGGAGCATTACGTGGCATTTGAAAACTACCACATTTCTCTTCTTTAATAACTCTGTAAATCGTAGATTTCCCAACACCAAGTGTACTGCTAACTAACTCAACGGTCTCATCAACACTTTCACATAAACGTTTGTCTGTAAATGATTTAAAACAATTAAATATTAATGTTTTTTCATTAACTGTTAAAGGACCAATTTTTCGGCGTTTACACGGCACTTCCAAATTTTCCATAACACTAGTATACACAATAAACTGCACCTTGCAACTGAAGTACCTACTTTTAGTGAACTGTTAAGAATTTTGAATACGCCACTTGGACCTTCCTACAAAATGGAAAAACCCACTATCACATTTTCTGTGGAATAAGTTTAGAAGGTAATTATCTAGTCAATTACTGTCGTAGATTCCTGGAATTAAAGAATTAAATGTTTGATTGTTGAAACCCTTACTTCGTGGAATGCACTCATTTCAGATAAAATAAAACGTTTTATTTTATCTAAAGAATTAAACTTTATTTTGCAAATAGGTAGGTACTTATTAAACTTTTATTGGTTATATATAACCAATAAAATAAACATCTTACATTTCTTGCAAATTCATTAGTACCTGTTAACCTCCATCACTCCGACACTGGCAACCTTATTTAGGGATTAGTAACCCTCACAACTATTGTATTCTATTCTGCTCCAACCTTTATACCTGGTGGTCATACTCAATTTAAAATTGTTTTTCTATATACTTCTGTAAACTTGTTGACAAATATCTGTTTTTCATTGAGTCACCCGTATGAACAGTTTAGGGATTTGCATACATAATTTATTGTTTTATTACTCTCTCATACATAAAAATACACTATAGTGTTTTGAAAGTTTTGATAGTATTGTCAAGTTTATCTGCTAATCTACCAATGGCCAATTATAAAAAAATTTTCTAATAGCCAACTGCAAATAATATTAAAGAAACAAATATATTCATTCGTTCGTGTTTTATATATAAAAAAAAAATTCAAAGCATATTTGAGGCATAAAACATATACATAATAAGGACATGGCAATACAGCAAACGTAGGTAACAGCAGATGTTTCATTTGTAGCTAACTTAAGACATTTCATTTGTAGCTAACTTAACCAGCACTTTCTATATACGTGTGCCTTAATTGCTATAGAATTCTGATTTATATAAAGGGTAATTAATTCATTATCCATTGAAAATATGACAACTTTGAAGTTAAACAATTGTACACAATGATCATTATAGCTTTGTAGTATTTATCTAGATAGCTGAATCGATTAGTGATTTAACTGAATATAAGATTTCTGAAATATAGTTAAATATTCAAGATATTGAAAATAATAGAAAACAATTTAACTCTGTTCAGAAATCAATAGAATTTAATTGTGGAGACAATGTAATGGATTATGAATTTGGACAGAGAAAGAATTTTGATGATATAAAAATATTCATCATTGGAACTATCCCAAGAAAGACGTAATTAAATCATCAATTACAAAATGAATTTTTTTGTTTTTCAGTATCTGATGTTACCATCCCTATTCCTAATTACACTTTCCAATCGATTTCGCATGGATCGGATGACTTTTCTAATAAATTCTTGAGGCATTGCTTCCCATTCATCATTAAGCGCAGCTCTCAATTCCATTATGCTCCTTGGTGCATGGTTTCTGCTCCGGACCCTTCGTTTAAGCTCATCCCAAACACGCTCTATTGGATTTATGCCCGGGCTCAAGCAGGCCAATTTATTGTAGGTATACCGATCTCAGTCAGATAGATGGTGGTGACTCATGCGGTATGACATCGTGAATTATCATGCAATAAAGGCATTACCAATAAATTCCGCGTATGGAACCACATGTTCCTCCAAAATATCTCTGATGTAACGATCCGCCGTTAAACCTCCTCCACATCCCCCACCAGGTACGGTTTTCCCATCCATGGAAATGCCTGCCAAAATCGTACAAGAACCGCCTCCATATGACACAATATCTCGTATACAACATTGAGCAAATCGTTCCCCTGGCCTTTTATAGACTCGACGCCTCTTGTCGTTGCCATGTAGGCAGATCCTATTTTCGTCGGAGAATAATACCTGACTCCATTGATAGTCGTCCCAATCCAGATGTTCGCGAGCAAATTATAGTCGTCTTTGCTTCTGGGCTGGAGTTAGCTTGGGACCAGTAGCTGCCCTTTTTGGTGTCAGGTTGGCTGCTTTCAGTCTCCTTCTGACTGTCCAAACGCTGGTAACCACACCTCGGACCTCTCTAAGCTCTTCTTTGAGATTAGCAACAGTCAAATGTCGATTTCTCAGAGATTAAGATACAAGAAATCGATCATCTCTCTCTGTTGTTATTCGTTTACGACCTCCTCCTTGTCGGCGGACATAATCACCAGTATCTTGGTACCGACGATACACTCGGGACACAGCAGATTCGCTTAAATTTAGTCAATTTGCCACGGCTCTCTGGCTCAGGTCTTCTCTCAATAATGCTACTGCTTGAGCTGCTTTGACGGATGTGGTATCCATTTGTTATGAAGTTGCGAACTTAATTGACTGATGTATTAGTGGGTTGCTATGGAAATTGATGCTTACGATGTTAACCAAATGTGTTAAGTGGGTGCGTGTCGATTTCAATGGGTCAAATTATGACCCCTCTCTACGTGTTGCATTATTTATTTGTAATACGTCACCCGATTTACCAAAAATCAAAACTTTTTTCAAACTCAATAATGAGGTTAATAATTGTACACTAAATATTTTTAAATTTACACCTTTTTTGATTGAAACAGGAGACGTACTTTCGCAAAATAATTTTGAGTCGATTTTTTTGCACTCAAGTGTATATATATATATATATATATATATATATATATATATATATATATATATATATATATCGGAAAAAGGAGTACGACCGTCAATCCAATATATATAAGGAACACTTGCAAATCACAGTTCCAAGTATATGAACCTTGGGCTGTTGGAAATTAATGGGTCGTTAACCACCTGTGGCTGATTAACTAGCCATAATGTTTAACGTTATTACATACATATGAGGTTAAATGAAAATCTCCTGTTTGTAAATCTGAGCTGATTAGTGAGAGGAGTTGCTATTACAATACCAGTTTCTTTCACTGTTTTGTCTTTTACAACCGGGTAGTCATCCAAACTCATTTAAACTTAAATTGACCGCCCAATTATTTGGGTTGGTACCTCCACCTTGTTGATCTGTCAAAAGTATTTTGACCTCAAGGTTGGCTGTCTTTTCGCGGTTTAGTTCGTTCCGGTTCATCTAACGCCATTTTCCCGGCGACACTTGTAGGGCTTTGATTGGTTACTTCATTTACACTACTTTTATAATTTTTATTAATATCACTTATAATGCTACCTAAAGTTAAAATCAAAGCTTAATAATCATAAAAAGTTGGAAGTTATCTATGATTTTCTTGGTTCTTGCTCACTAATTAACATTAAATAACATTTAATTTACTTTAGACCACATGGTCATTTGCTGTGCTAATTTTATAAGTTCATATATGTTGTTAGTTACTTAATTGTTTATACAAAATCAGCGTATTATGTCCATTTACTTAGTTTCATTCACATTATTGTTAATAACATTGACTGCTACATGTCTTTTTAAGGTAACAATTAACATCGTTTCCATGATTGTGTGGTTCTCATATTGTACTTTTTTAGATGAACTGATGATGCTTTCAAAACTCGAAAGCGAAACGTCTTCAAAATAGATAAAGTAGCCTATCAACTTTGTCTTTTATTTCTCCACCTAGAGACCGATATAAGAACCCACCACTCGTCTGAGTGATCCTTATATATATATATATATATATATATATATATATATATATATAACTATACTTACATAGATATATAATATATTCATTCGTAGGTATCTATTAACATGGCTGGAATAATTACAACCGACATTGAGTCATTTATTGACAGCGTAGAAAAGAGACCTGCACTATATCTGAAATCGTTGAAAGAGTATTCGGATGTTAATTACCGAAAAAAAAATGTGGGAGGAAGTGTGCTTGGAAATTGTATCTGGTTGGGGAGAACTGGATGAAGGACAAAAAACAAAAATTGGTAATTCCATTCTTATTATCTAATATTAATTAACATTGTACAACTTAACAGTTTTTTAAACCTTGTCGTATTGCCACGGGACAGACCCTTGTGGGGAAACAAAATAAGACGACAAGTACTGACGGACATTTAAACCCCCGATAACATTTCTTCCTCTATTATCATTACTGAGAGTTTCGACATTTTCTAATTTTGCGTAAAGAGTGTCTTCAAATTTAATTCCGTCTTTTATACGTACAAAATTGTGTAAAATACAGCACGCTTTTACTATAGCTACTGCAAAATCTGTGTTTACATTTAGTGGTCTATGAAGTATGCGCCATTTATTTGCTAATATACCAAAAGTACACTCTACCATCCGGCGAGCTCTGGTATGTCTATAATTGTAAATAAGTTTGTCGTATGCAAGGGTTTTTTGCGTATGGTCGCAATAAATTATCAGTTAATCCAAAAGCATCATCATCACCGACAACAAAAAAGGGAATAGTTTTCCCGTCATTGTCGTTGGGCAATTTCCTTCCACAAGGTACGTTTAAGTTATTTCCCATAAAATTTTTACCCATTTTTGAGTTTTTAAAAACAGCTGAATCAGCTTCCATACGCAGCAACATCTACATATACAAATTTGTAGTCTGCATCAGTCCAGGCTATTAACACGCATGAAAAATATTTTTTGTAGTTAAAAAATAATGATCCAGAGTGTTGCGGTTGTATTATTCGAATGTGTTTCCCATCAATAGCCCCTATTACATTAGGAAAATTAGTACGCTCATAAAATTGATCTGCAATTGTGATCCAGTCTTCTTTAGACTTCTGGGGCATATAAATTGGCTGCAATATTTCTCACAGTACGTCACACGTGCTTCTTACTATTTGTCTAATGGTTGTAGCTCCCAAAAGAAATTCAAATGATAGGGCATTGAAACTTGCACCGGTAGCCAGATATCTGAAAAAGCAAAATTTAATAATACATTTTAATTTATGTATGTAATAGGTGCAGAAGTTCAAAAGAAATGGCTAAATTTAAGAACATGCTTTACGAGAGAACTGAAAGCTCAACAAATTCAGTCAGAGCAAGCGGCAACCAAACGTCGAAAATATATTTACTTTAAGAAGTTACTATTTCTTAAATCCTCTTTGACTCAGCGATCCACTGAAAGTAACATAAATGATGGTGCAGAAGATAATCCAAATATTACGGAATTAAATGAAACAGAAACACCCCGATTAGATAGGAAAACAATTAGTAGAAAAAGAACGGCAAATACAAGTACAACATTTCAACAATCTTTGTTGAATATCTTAAAGGAAGATGTAGATGAGGACAAAAATTTTGCACTTTCAATAGTTTCATCCTTACAGTCTTTAACAGACAACGAAAAACTCGAGGCACAAATCCAAATTCTCCAAGTGTTTCAAACAATAAAAAATAAAAGAGTTAAGAGCTTACACGAAAATAGCTACTTTACACAACCTTCCGGATATTCGCACAATCAATTTTCTAACGTGCAGCGCCCATTTCAAGTATCAACTCCGAATTCAGAGGACAGCGTGCAAAGCTACTGGACGAATTACTCTGCTTCGCCGGAGAGTGATATTCTTGATTTGTAAAAATATCAACAGTTATTAATAAAAACTTTGACACTGGCTATTTGTTCTTACCTTATGTTGTGACACGACGTTTTATAAGTGGAGCAATTAATAAAATAATTTCATTGAAGCTTGATTCGCTCATTCGGTAAAACTGAAAAAACTTATCTGGGTAAGTCTTCAGATTGCAATGTAGCGTGTGAAAATTTCCATTTTTTAATCTGTCGCTTAATATGGGATGTACACAGAAATTTCTTTTCCTTTTTACATTATCTTCCATGTACAGTAATGCACAAGCAAGTACTTTTTTGTTATACGACATGAGGACACAGAAATAGAGAAATACGTAGAGGAGTACGACAGGGTTGCATTTTGTCACCTCTGTTATTTAATGTATATAGTGAAAGCATCTGTCAGGAAGCCCTTTTACAAGCAAACGGAGGAATCGTAATTAATGAAGAGATTGTAAATAATATTCGATACGCGGACGACACTGTACTAGTTGCAAGAACAGTAGAAGAATTACAAAGATTACTTACAGACATAAATATTGCTTGCAACAATTATGGTAAAATATCAATATTAAAAAAACCAAGTATATGGTCTTCAGTAAAAACATGACACAACCAGCGTATATTAGTATAAACGGCACTCAAGTTGAAAAAGTATCAAGTTACAAATACTTGGGAACTTTAATAAACGAAACTGGAGACCAAAACAGTGAAATAAAAAGACGTATCGAAATTGCCAGGGCCACCTTCATAAAGATGAGAAAATTCTTCTGCAACAGAAATATAAGCATCCCTCTACGATTAAGAATGCTGAGAGGCTATGTATTTAACACGCTATTATACGGTGTAGAGGCCTGGACTCTCAAACAGAACAACATGAAAAATATTGAAAGTTTCGAGATGTGGTGCTACCGTCGAATGCTGAAGATTAGTTGGGTTGAAAGAATAACAAACTGTGAAGTAATACGAAGAATAGGAAAAGACCCAGAGATTTTGTTAACGCTAAAGCGAAGAAAACTCGAATATTTTGGTCACCTGATGAGAGGACATAAATACGCATTACTTCAAAATATAATGCAGGGAAAAATAGAAGGAAAACGGAATCCAGGCCGTAGAAGAATGTCATGGTTGCGGAATTTGAGAGAGTGGTTTGGCTGCACCACTAATGAACTCTTTATGTCAGCCGTAAACAAGGTCAGAATAGCCTTGATGATTTCCAATCTCCGATAGGAGTGGCACAAAAAGAAGAGAAGATGAGGACACACTGAAATCTCCAATACAACTATCAAGTGTATGCGCACCCTACATAACTCAATAGTTTAGTCGAGAACAAACCGTAATACCCTCACGATTCGACTAAACTGTTTGGTCGTGAATAAATCGATAGTATGCGGGAAGCCTAAGGGAACGTGGAGATCTCCAGATGGGGTCACAGTAAACATGATCGATCATGTTGTTATTGACTCTAGACATCACTCAGACATAATAAATGTATGCAGCAGAAGAGGGCCAAATGCAGACTCGGATCACTACCTAGTGGAAAGTAGAATAAGAATCTCAAACATTAAAAAAGAAAATGTATTCAAAATTGAAAGAGAAACTTAGCAGACAACAGCAAAAAGACAAAACACAAAGAATATATAAAAGGAAGGCTAAAAATAGACAAAAGCACATGGATATAAACAGAGAATGGGAAGCGTGTAAACAATCATACAAGACGCGGCCAAAGAGACCTTGGGTCTACAAAAAAAGCCCAAATCAACTGAAGGACAGTGGTTCGATGAAGAGTGTCGTAACATAACAGAGAGGAAAAATAATGCATATCAACGACTACAACAACGACATAGAACACGAAAGGCAGAGGAGAATATAGAATGCTAAGGAGAGAAGAGAAGAAAATACATCGCAGAAAGAAAAGAGAACACATAGAAAAAGAACTCCAAGAAATGGAAGAACTAAATAAACCATCAGAAACCAGAAAATTCTACCAAAAACTTAACAAAAGTAGAAAAGAATTTAAACCAAGAACAATGATGTGTAGAGACAAAGAAGGAGATATAGTAACTCAACAAAGTGAAATACTACAAAGATGGACAGAATACTTCAAAGAAAAGTTTGAAAAAAACGAAGATCCACTATATGATGGAATTATACTGGATCAAACGGATACCAGAGAAACAACCCCCCTTCAGTAGCTGAAATGCAAGAAGCAGTTACCAGACTGAAAAACAACAAGTCACCTGGATTAGACAACATTAGCGCAGAATTAATAAAGGAAGGTGGAGACTCCTATTGAATGCGATACACGAACTAATAGTGAACATATGGAATAATAAACAACTGCCACAAGACTGGAATACCGGAGTAATTATCCCACTACATAAAAAGGGAGATCAGCTTCAATGTAAAAACTACCGAGCAATAACGCTACTGACTGTGGCATATAAAATACTGTTCAATATTGTGTATGACCGATTGAGACCATATGGGGGATATCAATGTGGTTTCCGCAGGCAGAAGTCTACAATAGATCAGATCTTCGTCTTGAGGCAAATCTTGGAAAATACCAGTGAATTTAATATAGACACACATCATCTTTTCATTGACTTTGAGGGTGCCTATGATAGCATCCATCGAGAATTTCTGATCCATGCACCGAAAGAGTTTAATATTTCAACTCGACTCATTGATATAGTAAAAGAAACACTTAACCCTCCTTCCCACGGGTGGGGTCTGTCAGTACACCTATAAATGAAATTGCTTAATTTTTCCAATTTTTTTTTGTATTTTTTTCCTAGACTCGGTGTACCTTTTAATGGCACTGAATAGTACACTTACGCATAATTTGGTGAAATTGTATGAATCGCTTCAATTGCTACCTTGTAACGTTATAAACGTCACATCTCTATTAATTTATATTTAAATAATTATTTTATTTTATATTTCTTCCCTCTATATTTCTTCCTCTCATTATTTCCTCTCTCTTTCTGTCACGTAGAATAAATATTCGCCCTCTCTCTTTGTGTTCTGTGTTGACAGACAAGTTAGTTTCGTGAAATAGCAACATCCTATGACATCTGTGCTAACTTCAAGTAGTTTCCCACTTTCTGTCAAAACAACTTCTAACGTGGTGGGATTATTTTTTGTCTGATTTTGACTTTATAAAAGAAGGCAAAATTTATAATTAGACTCATTTTATGGTCTACTAATTCTCTTGGGGTAAGTACTTTCA